CACCACCATCATCATAACCCTACCACCACCATCATCATAACCCTACCACCACCATCATCATAACCTCACCACCACCATCATAACCTCACCACCACCATCATCACCATAACCTCACCACTACCATCATCATCATAACCTCACCACCACCATCATCATAACCTCACCACCACCATCATCATCATCATAACCTCACCACCACCATCATCATAACCCTACCACCACCATCATCATAACCTCACCACGACCATCATCATAACCCTACCACCACCATCATCATAACCTCACCACCACCATCATCATAACCTCACCACCACCATCATCATAACCTCACCACCACCATCATAACCTCACCATCATCATCATCATAACCTCACCATCATCATAATCTCACCACCACCTTCATCATAACCTCACCACCACCACCACCATCATCATAACCTCACCACTACCACCATCATCATAACCTCACCACCACCATCATCATCATAACCTCACCACCACCACCATCATCATAACCTCACCACCACCACCACCATCATCATAACCGTACCACCACCATCATCATAACCCTACCACCACCATCATCATAACCTCACCACATCCACCATCATCATAACCTCACCACCATCATCATAAACCTACCACCACCACCATCATCATCATAACCTCACCACCACCACCATCATCATAACCCTACCACCACCATCATCATAACCTCACCACCACCATCATCATAAGCTCACCACCACCATCATCATAAGCTCACCACCACCATCATCATAAGCTCACCACCACCATCATCATAACCTCACCACCACCATCATCATAACCTCACCACCACCACCACCATCATCTTAACCCTACCACCACCATCATCTTAACCCTACCACCACCATCATCATAACCTCACCACCACCATCATCATAACCTCACCACCATCATCATAACCCTACCACCACCATCATCATAACCCTACCACCACCATCATCATAACCTCACCACCATCATCATAACCTCACCACCACCACCATCATCATAACCTCACCACCATCATCATAACCCTACCACCACCATCATCATAACCTCATCACCACCATCATCATAACCTCACCACCACCATCATCATAACCTCACCACCACCATCATCATAACCTCACCACCACCACCATCATCTTAACCCTACCACCACCATCATCATAACCCTACCACCACCATCATCATAACCTCACCACCACCACCATCATCATAACCTCACCACCACCACCATCATCATAACCTCACCACCACCACCATCATCATAACCTCACCACCATCATCATAACCCTACCACCACCATCATCATAACCCTACCACCACCATCATCATAACCTCACCACCACCATCATCATAACCCTACCACCACCACCATCATCATAACCTCACCACCACCACCATCATCATAACCTCACCACCACCATCATCATAACCTCACCACCACCACCATCATCATAACCTCACCACCACCACCACCATCATCATAACCTCACCACCACCATCATCATAACCTCACCACCACCATCATCATCATAACCTCACCACCACGATCATCATAACCCTACCACCACCATCATCATAACCTCACCACCACCATCATCATAACCCTACCACCACCATCATCATAACCTCACCACCACCATCATCATAACCTCACCACCATCATCATCACAACCTCACCGCCACCACCATCATCATAACCTCACCACTACCACCATCATCATAACCTCACCACCACCATCATAACCTCACCACCACCATCATCACCATAACCTCACCACTACCATCATCATCATAACCTCACCACCACCATCATCATAACCTCACCACCACCATCATCATCATCATAACCTCACCACCACCATCATCATAACCCTACCACCACCATCATCATAACCTCACCACGACCATCATCATAACCCTACCACCACCATCATCATAACCTCACCACCACCATCATCATAACCTCACCACCACCATCATCATAACCTCACCACCACCATCATAACCTCACCATCATCATCATCATAACCTCACCATCATCATAATCTCACCACCACCTTCATCATAACCTCACCACCACCACCACCATCATCATAACCTCACCACTACCACCATCATCATAACCTCACCACCACCATCATCATCATAACCTCACCACCACCATCATCATCATAACCTCACCACCACCATCATCATCATAACCTCACCACCACCATCATCATCATAACCTCACCACTACCACCATCATCATAACCTCACCACCACCATCATCATAACCTCACCACCACCATCATCATCATAACCTCACCACCACCATCATCATAACCTCACCACCACCATCATCATAACCTCACCACCACCATCATCATAACCTCACCACCACCATCATCATAACCTCACCATCATCATCATCATAACCTCACCATCATCATAATCTCACCACCACCTTCATCATAACCTCACCACCACCACCACCATCATCATAACCTCACCACCACCACCATCATCATAACCTCACCACCACCACCACCATCATCATAACCCTACCACCACCATCATCATAACCCTACCACCACCATCATCATAACCTCACCACATCCACCATCATCATAACCTCACCACCATCATCATAAACCTACCACCACCACCATCATCATCATAACCTCACCACCACCACCATCATCATAACCCTACCACCACCATCATCATAACCTCACCACCACCATCATCATAAGCTCACCACCACCATCATCATAACCTCACCACCACCATCATCATAACCTCACCACCACCATCATCATAACCTCACCACCACCATCATCATAACCTCACCACCACCACCACCACCACCATCATCTTAACCCTACCACCACCATCATCTTAACCCTACCACCACCATCATCATAACCTCACCACCACCATCATCATAACCTCACCACCATCATCATAACCCTACCACCACCATCATCATAACCCTACCACCACCATCATCATAACCTCACCACCACCACCATCATCATAACCTCACCACCACCACCATCATCATAACCTCACCACCATCATCATAACCCTACCACCACCATCATCATAACCTCATCACCACCATCATCATAACCTCACCACCACCATCATCATAACCTCACCACCACCATCATCATAACCTCACCACCACCACCATCATCTTAACCCTACCACCACCATCATCATAACCCTACCACCACCATCATCATAACCTCACCACCACCACCATCATCATAACCTCACCACCACCACCATCATCATAACCTCACCACCACCACCACCATCATCATAACCTCACCACCATCATCATAACCCTACCACCACCATCATCATAACCCTACCACCACCATCATCATAACCTCACCACCACCATCATCATAACCCTACCACCACCACCATCATCATAACCTCACCACCACCACCACCACCATCATCATAACCTCACCACCACCATCATCATAACCTCACCACCACCACCATCATCATAACCTCACCACCACCACCACCATCATCATAACCTCACCACCACCATCATCATAACCTCACCACCACCATCATCATCATAACCTCACCACCACGATCATCATAACCCTACCACCACCATCATCATAACCTCACCACCACCATCATCATAACCCTACCACCACCATCATCATAACCTCACCACCACCATCATCATAACCTCACCACCACCATCATCATAACCTCACCACCACCATCATCATAACCTCACCACCACCATCATAACCTCACCATCATCATCATCATCATAACCTCACCATCATCATAATCTCACCACCACCTTCATCATAACCTCACCACCACCATCATCATAACCTCACCACCACCATCATCATCATAACCTCACCACCACCATCATCATAACCTCACCACCACCATCATCATAACCTCACCACCATCATCATAACCTCACCACCACCATCATCATAACCTCACCATCATCATCATCATAACCTCACCATCATCATAATCTCACCACCACCTTCATCATAACCTCACCACTACCACCATCATCATAACCTCACCACCACCATCATCATCATAACCTCACCACCACCATCATCATCATAACCTCACCACCACCATCATCATCATAACCTCACCACTACCACCATCATCATAACCTCACCACCACCATCATCATAACCTCACCACCACCATCATCATCATAACCTCACCACCACCATCATCATAACCTCACCACCACCATTATCATAACCTCACCACCACCATCATCATAACCTCACCACCACCATCATCATAACCTCACCATCATCATCATCATCATAACCTCACCATCATCATAATCTCACCACCACCTTCATCATAACCTCACCACCACCATCATCATAACCTCACCACCACCACCATCATCATAACCTCACCACCATCATCATAACCCTACCACCACCATCATCATAACCTCACCACATCCACCATCATCATAACCTCACCACCACCATCATCATAACCTCATCACCACCACCACCATCATCATAACCTCACCACCACCATCATCATAACCTCACCACCACCATCATCATAACCCTACCACCACCATCATCATCATAACCTCACCACCACCACCATCATCATAACCCTACCACCACCACCATCATCATAACCTCACCACCACCATCATCATAACCTCACCACCACCATCATCATAACCTCACCACCACCATCATCATAACCTCACCACCACCATCATCTTAACCCTACCACCACCATCATCATAACCCTACCACCACCATCATCATAACCTCACCACCACCACCACCATCATCATAACCTCACCACCATCATCATAACCCTACCACCACCATCATCATAACCTCACCACCACCACAATTACTGTCACATCACCATAATGACTACCATCATCATCATCACCAGCTGCTGCTGCTGTTTCTTGTGCCCAGTTCATGAGTCTCTTCATGATTGGACTCATCATGGCGAGCTGCACCTACCTCCCTCCAGCCTGGCACGGCCCCGCGAAGACCCCCCACGCGCTGCCCACGCCCACCAGCGTCAAGGGCAGGGTCGTGCACACGGGTCGGTGCCTCCGTGTGTCTCCCCGTGTGTGTGTGTGTGTCACCCCGTGTGTGTGTGTGTCTCCCCGTGTGTGTGTGTCACCCCGTGTGTGTGTGTGTCTCCCCGTGTGTGTGTGTGTGTCACCCCGTGTGTGTGTGTGTCTCCCCGTGTGTGTGTGTGTGTCACCCCGTGTGTGTGTGTGTGTCTCCCCGTGTGTGTGTGTGTGTCTCCCCGTGTGTGTGTGTGTCTCCCCGTGTGTGTGTGTGTCTCCCCGTGTGTGTGTGTGTCTCCCCGTGTGTGTATGTGTGTCACCCCGTGTGTGTGTGTGTCTCACCGTGTGTGTGTGTGTGTCTCCCCGTGTGTGTGTGTGTCACCCCGTGTGTGTGTGTGTGTCACCCCGTGTGTGTGTGTGTCTCCCCGTGTGTGTGTGTGTGTGTGTCTCCCCGTGTGTGTGTGTGTCTCCCCGTGTGTGTGTGTGTCACCCCGTTTGTGTGTGTGTGTCTCCCCGTTTGTGTGTGTGTGTCTCCCCGTGTGTGTGTGTGTCTCCCCGTGTGTGTGTGTGTGTCTCCCCGTGTGTGTGTGTGTGTCTCCCCGTGTGTGTGTGTGTCTCCACGTGTGTGTGTATGTGTGTGTCTCCCCGTGTGTGTGTGTCTCCCCGTGTGTGTGTGTGTGTGTCTCCCCGTGTGTGTGTGTCTCCCCGTGTGTGTGTGTGTGTGTCCATGTGTGTGTGTCCCCGTGTGTGTGTGTGTCTCCCCGTGTGTGTGTGTGTGTCTCCCCGTGTGTGTGTGTCTCCCCGTGTGTGTGTGTGTGTGTCTCCCCGTGTCCGTGTGTGTGTCTCCCCGTGTCCGTGTGTGTGTCTCTCCGTGTGTGTGTGTCTCCCCGTGTGTGTGTGTGTGTCTCCCCGTGTCCGTGTGTGTGTCTCCCCGTGTCCGTGTGTGTGTCTCTCCGTGTGTGTGTGTCTCCCGTGTGTGTGTGTCTCCCCGTGTGTGTGTGTCTCCCCGTGTGTGTGTGTCTCCCCGTGTGTGTGTGTCCGTGTGTGTGTGGGGAGCGATAGTGTAGCAGTTAGCACGCTGCGCTATGAACCTGGCGATTCGGGTTCGATTCCCGCTCACGGCCAACACCAGTGACGATTATCTGAACCGGTCCCGGGCCTCCCCTAGGTCGACTCAGCCTCAAATGAGTACCTGGTGCGGTGTGTAAACATTGCCACTAGGGATACAAAGGCGGTCGGGCGTGGTGCTGGCCACCCACCCCCTCGTGTACCGTTCCGGCCTTCATAGGTGCTCGCTAACAGCACTTGCCCCTACAGTCTGTTGAGGCTATACGGGGGATCTTTGTCTTTGTCTGTGTCTCCCCGTGTGTGTGTGTGTGCATCAAATATTGGAAGAAGTCACCCCCTGTGAGTCTGAGACCAGGAAATGCTCCGGGTAGAGATGATCTCCCAAGCGAAATGCTGAGGGAGGGTGGCGTTTGTGCACAGACTGCCCTATATGACATCATAACAACAGTCTGGACCACTGGACAGGTTCCGCAGGATTGGAAGGATGCCCTGGTGGTCCCCCTCTTTAAGAAGGGGGACCGCAAAGACTGTAACAACTACAGGGGCATCTCACTCCTCAGTGTGCCGGGAAAGGTCCTGGCCCATTATTATTCAACATCGCCTTGCCAGGCACGCTGAGGAGAGGCTTGCGGAGCCCCAATGCGGTTTCAGGAAAGGGCGGTCCTGCACGGATGCCATATTTTCTGTCCGTCTGCTACAGCAGAGATGTAGGGAATTCCAGCAAGACCTACATCTCTGCTTTATTGACCTGGTCAAAGGCCTATGATATCATCAGTAGGCCTGGGCTCTAGGTTGTTCTTCGTGCTTTTGGAGTACCTGACCCTCTCCTCACGATCATTAAGGACCTTCATGATGGTGAGTGGGCCCGGGTAAAACTACGTGGCCGAGAGTCAGAGCCATTCCCTGTACACCTTGGGGTGCGACAGGGATGTCCTCTGGCTCCCACATTATTTAACATCTATTTTGACCACGTAGTTCGTGAAGCCTTCAATAGCTGTACCGGGGGAATCTCCATTTGGTACAGATATAATGGGAGGCTGATCGATGCCCGGGTGCGGTCAAGGGATGGCTCCCTATTGCTCAACCACCTTATGTATGCCGATGATTTGTTAATAGCTGCTCATTCAGAGGAGGAGTTGGAGACGCTTCTGCTGAGACTGGAGCGTGCCACTAAGAGGTGGGGCCTTACCATCAGCCCCACCAAAACTAAGCACCTGCCTGGGTATTTTGTACCATCAGACACTCCACCCCCACAACTCCCAATCGGTGATGGGGCAGTTGTGGAGAGAGTGGAGAGTTTCCCATACCTGGGCAGTGTGCTTATGACCAGCTCCAGTTTAACAGCAGAGGTTTCACTCCGAATCAGTCGAGCGGCAATATATTTTCATCGGTTGCGTAACGCTGTGTGGAAGCTACCTGGTCTGTCGCTCCGCACTAAGCTTCAGGTCTTCTCGGCCACGGTCCATTCCCTCCCTTCTCTACGCTTGCGAAACGTGGACGCCCCTAATGGAACATCTTCGCCGGTTAGAAACATTTAGGCTGGCCTGCCTACGATCCATCCTGGGTTTAACCAGACTGGATTGTGTGAGGAGCTCACAAATCCTTGAAAGATCTGGGCAAGGTCCCATCGGTGAGCTCCTCCGGCAGGCAAGGCTGCGTTGGCTGGGTCATGTAGCCCGCATGCCCAGCCACCGCATGCCAAAACAGCTTTTGTTCGGCCGGATTGAGGGGGCTAAACGGGCGCGGCACGGGCTAGAGAAGAGATGGAGTGATGTGGTACAGGAGGACGTGGAGCTGAGTGGACTTGCCGATGGCTGGTACCAGCGGTGTCAAGATCGGCCTCTGTGGAGGAGCCTCGTGAAGGACGCTACTGGGCAGTTGGAGGCAGTCGCCCACCAACAACAACGGAGGGCGGAGGAGCGACGCTCACAACAACGAGCGGAGCGCCGGATGACTAAAGCACAGCAGGTTGGCACAGTATGGGGCACAGGTGGTGCATCAGCCAGTCATCTCAGTCAGTCGACCCGTGGCACCTGGGTCTGCCCCGTGACCTCCTGCCAGCGGGCGTTCGACACTTCACGTGGCCTCAGGGTGCACATGGCCTGGCACAAGCGTCGTGGTGACGTCACCGCCACTTAGTGGTGAATGGCGGTTGCTGTTGTTGTATGTGTGTGTGTCTCCCCGTGTGTGTCTCTCTCTCCGTGTGTCTCTCTCTCCCTGTGTCTCCCCCCTAATCTCCCCGTGTCTCCCATCTCCCCGCCTGTCCCCCGCCTGTCCCCCGCCTGTCCCCGCGTGTCCCCGCGTGTCCCCCCGTGTCCCCGCCTGTCCCTCCGTGTCCCCGCCTGTCCCCGCCTGTCCCCGCCTGTCCCGCCTGTCCCCGCCTGTCCCCGCGTGTCACAGCTCGCGTGCTGTGGGAGTTGTCCCGGGGCGACGCCGCCGTGTCTCCCGGCGTCCCCGCCGACGCCGCTTCCCCGGGGGGGCGGGGGGAGACTCCCCCCCCTCCCCCGGGGGGGTCCCCCTCCACGTGGTCACGCCGCCTCTCCCGGTGCCTGCGAGTCTTCGACTGGAGCCTGTGGCGTCTCCCCTCCTACCGCACCTGGGCCCTCGGCGTGCCGCTCGCTCTCTTCGGATACTTCGTTCCCTACGTGCACCTGGTGAGTCCCCTCCCCCCTTATCCGCCATCCCCCGTATCCGCCGCTCCTGTGTCCGCTACCTCGTATGCACGACCGCGTGTACACCACCCCCGTATCCGCTATACCCCGTATATGCTATCCCCCGTATCCGCTACCTCCCCTTATCCGCTATCCCCCGTATCCGCTACCCCCTATATCTGCTATGTCGTATACACTACGTCATGTACACCCTCATGTACACCACTCCCGTATCCACTGTCCCCCGTATCCGCGATCCCCCGTATCCGCGATCCCCCGTATCCACGACCCCCCATATCCGCTACCTCATACACACTACCTCCTTACATTATCCCCAGTATCCGCTGTCCCCCGTATCCGCTACCCCCCCTTATCCGCTATCCCCCGTATCCGCTACCCCCTATATCTGCTATCTCGTATACACTACCTTATGTACACCACCTCATGTACACCACTCCCGTATCCACTGTCCCCCGTATCCGCGATCCCCCGTATCCGCGACCCCCCATATCAGCTACCTCATACACACTACCTCATTACATTATCCCCAGTATCCGCTGTCCCCCATATCCGCTACCCCCCATATCCACCACGTCCTGTTTCTTTCTTTCTCCACAACTCTGGATATCGCCTGATGCTGCTGCTGCTGGTGGTTGTTGTAATTAGCGGCGAAACGTCACCAGCTATTCGAATGGTAAATGTCGTTTTGGGTTTAACTCCCCAACATACAACTGGTTAGTGCTGTACTTGTACACTACACTATACACTACACCCTCCAATACACACTAAACTATATACTACTATACACACTACACTACACACTACAGTAGTGCTGTATTAGTATACTACACTATACACTACACACTACACTATACACGACACTACACACGACACTACACACTACACTACAGTAGTGCTGTACTAGTATACTGCACTATACACTACACTATACACTACACACTACACTATACACTACACTATACACTACACTACTATACACTACACTATACACTACACTACACACTACTATACACTACACTATACACTACACACACTACACACTACTATACACTACACTACTATACACTACACTACTATACACTACACTATACACTACACTACTATACACTACACACTATACACTACACTGTACACTACACTACACACTACACTATAATTGTAAATGTTGTAGTTCTCCAACACACAACAACCGGTTAGTGCTGAACTCGTAACCAACGGCCTCGTTTTGTGTTTGCGTGACACAAATCCTTCACTGATTGGTCGTGTCGGGTGGTGGCGGATGTGGGGAGCGGTGGCGCAGCGGTTAGCGCCACGCTGCGCTACGAACCCGGCAGAGACCCCTGGGCCTCCTCCCCTAGGTAGACTCGGCCTCAAATGAGTACCCTGGTGTAGCGGTGGTGGTGTAGTAGTGGTGGTGGTAGTGTAGTAGTGGTGTGGTGGTGGTGGTGTAGCGGTGGTGTGGTGGTGGTGGTGTAGCGGTGGTGGTGTGGTGGTGGTGTAGTAGTGGTGTGGTGGTGGTGGTGTAGCGGTGGTGGTGTAGTAGTGGTGTGGTGGTGTAGTAGTGGTGGTGCGGTGGTGGTGAAGTGGTGGTGGTGTAGTGGTGGTGGTGTAGTGGTGTGGTGGTGGTGTAGCGGTGGTGTAGTAGTGGTGTGGTGGTGTAGTGGTGGTGGTGTAGTAGTAGTGTAGTAGTGGTGGTGGTGTAGTAGTGGTGTGGTGGTGGTGATGTAGTGGTGGTGGTGTAGTGAATATCGCTAGCGCTGGGGGAGAGACATAGGCGGCCGGGCGTGGTGGTGCTGGCCACCCACCCCCTCTGTGTGTTGCCACAGTGCCGGTAGCCTTCATAGGCACTGCTACTCACTAACTGCACTTGCCCCTACAGTCTGTCACAGGCTACACGGGGGACCTTTGTTTTTGTCTTGTGGTGCTGGCCACCCACCCCCTCTGTGTGTTGCCACAGTGCCGGTAGCCTTCATGGACGCTGCTGCTGCTGCTACTCCCAGCCACTTGTACAAACCGGTCTGTTACAGGGCCACTATACGGAGAGGGGGGGAGGGTGGTGATGGATCTTTGTCTTTGTGCGTCAGATGAAGCACGTGGAGGAGAGATTTCCCGACGAGCAGGGGGAGGTCCTCCTCATCTGCATCGGGGTGACGTCCGGAGTGGGGCGCCTGGTGTCCGGTCGCGTGGTCGATCTCATTCCCGGGGTGAACAAAGTCTTCCTGCAGGTGACCACCACCACCACCACCGCCATCATCATGATCCTCTCTCTCTTACGCACCACACACGCACACACACGCACACACACGCACACACACGCACACACGTGTGCCTTCGCCAGCAAAACGCTTTGATGATTACTCTTTGGTTCTTTCGGTAAAGTCACGTAGAAAGGAAAACAAATTAAATGATGGCATACGACGTTTCGATTGCAACACAAGCATTCATCATCAGGTACGAATGAAAAAGAAAACAAACCTAAAATATATATAAATATATTTTATTATTTTGTTGTTTCCCTTCAACGTGACTTTACCGAAAGAGCTAAGAATATGAATTACTGCAGTCACGAAAGCTTTAAATCAAAACCTAGTAAACTTACGGCAAAACAACCCCCTACCTCCCCGTGGTGCCGGACGGGCAATGTTGTCGTGGACAGTGCTGTGGGGGGGAGGGCCAATTCCGATTGGCCTTTCCCCTCAGGGCGTTTGTAGCCACCACAGCGGCTAAATGGGGGCTCCGGATGGGTGCGAGGGGCTGGTAACCCCACCACCTTCAATAAATTACCACTAAACCACGTCTGAAATATCTAATTAATAAGCTTGTGCCGGACGCCCCGGGGGGACAGGCGTCTATGATGTCTCCTGGCCATACCCCAATTGGCGGAGCCAGGATATTGAATCTTTACCCTCGGGGCTTCTCCAGAAACAACAAAAAGCCACTACGGATAGCCACGTGGAATGTTATAATGCTCACTGCGGAGGAGAGGCTGCCACTCTTCTGCTGGGAGCTGGAACGGTACCGCCGGGATATCTGTGGTATTCTGGAGGTCCGGTGGACTGGCCCTGGCTCCTGCCACCATGAGGGGTGGACAGTCCTCTACTCAGGGCAGGAGACTACCAAATAACAGGGAGTGGCTCTTCTTCTGAACAAAAGAATGAAGAGGGCCTGGGAGCGTGGCGGTGAGGTGTGGGAAGCTGTAAGACCCAGGCTACTTTGGGCTCGCCTTCCCATCAACCGGATGTGAGGAGTGGTGGTCGTGGTTACTTATGCCCCCACCGAAGATGAACATCCATGGAGGGATGCAGGCAAGGCCGATGAGTCAGATGCCTGCTATGACCTCCTGTCACAGGTGCTAGCTAAAGTGGCCCCTCGGGATAGAGTTATCTTGTTTGGGTGACTTCAATGCCCGAGTTGGTCACGATGATGGCACCTAGTCTGGAGTAATTGGAAGGCATGGGCCAGATCAGCTCAATAACAATGGCAGGCTTCTAGATTTTTGTGCAGCCCATGGGCTTGTAATTACCAACACACTGTTCCGGCATCGGCACATCCACACCACTTCATGGATGAATGCCAGGTCCAAGCAAGAACACCTGCTGGACTACAGTGACAAACCAGCGGATGCGGGCCCATGTCCTTGACACCAGGACCATGGAGCTGATCTGCCCACTGACCATCGACTTGTCATCTGTAAGATGCGCCTGCCATTCTTCCACTCCGGTTGTGGGTGTACACCCAGGACCCCATTCAAACCCTTAGTGGCCTGGTCTCAGCTAGCTGATGAAAGTTGCAAGTGAGAATTTCATCATCACTTGCAGCTGGGGTTGGCATCGTCCCCCACTCCTGATGTCGAGGGGAAATGGGCGAGGTTTAGGACTGTGGCTCATGCAGCTGCAATAGCTGCTTTGAGTACACGGTCCAGACCTCCCCAGAGACCCTGGCTGACAGAGGAGGTGTTCAGGATGGTTGAGAAAAAGCGACAGGCCCACTGTCATCGACTACAGAATCCCACGTCAGAGAATGAGGAGGCTTACCGCAGCCTTCGCTCGGAGGTTCAGAGAGCCGTGAGGCGCTGCAAGGATGGGTGGTGGTCGCGGGTTGCTGAGGAGATGGAGTCTGTCTCAGTGGCCCGCGATCACAAATAGCTCTTTAACTCCATCAAAAAAGTAACCTACAGCGCCACACCTATTACCATCATTAGGGGAAAAAACGGTGATCCAATCTCCGACCCCCAGTAACAGGTTTGCAGATTTTCTGAGCATTTCTGTGAGGTACTGGGGGAGGGGAAATCCCTCAGCCGGGAAAACATCATCGGACAAAGTGGGGATGACCCTGCTGAGGCTCAAATATTGGAGGAGGAAGTCACCCCCTGTGAGTGGCTGGCTGAGGTGCCATCTGTTGAAGGACTGAAGGCGATCCAGAGTCTGAGACCAGGAAAGGCACTGGGCAGAGATGATCTCCCAAGCGAAATGCTGAGGGAGGGTGGCGTTTGTGCACAGACTGCCCTATATGACATCATAACAACAGTCTGGACCACTGGACGGGTTCCGCAGGATTGGAAGGATGCCCTGGTGGTCCCCCTCTTTAAGAAGGGGGACCGCACAGACTGTAACAACTACAGGGGCATCTCACTCCTCAGTGGGCCGGGAAAGGTCCTGGCAAGGATTATTCAACATCGCCTTGCCAGGCACGCTGAGGAGAGGCTTGTGGAGCCCCAATGCGGTTTCAGGAAAGGGCGGTCCTGCACAGATGCCATATTTTCTGTCCGTCTGCTACAGCAGAGGTGTAGGGAATTCCAGCAAGACCTACATCTCTGCTTTATTGACCTGGCCAAGGCCTATGATACCATCAGTAGGCCTGGGCTCTGGGTTGTTGTTGGTGGTGCTTTTGGAGTCCCTGACCCTCTGCTTTCGATCATTAAGGACCTTCATGATGGTGAGCGGGCCCGGGTAAAACTACGTGGCTGGGAGTCAGAGCCCATTCCCTGTACACCTTGGGGTGCGACAGGGATGTCCTCTGGCTCCCACATTATTTAACATCTATTTGGTCCACGTAGTTCATGAAGCCTTCAATAGCTGTACCGGGGGAATCTCCATTTGGTACAGATATAATGGGAGGCTGATCGATGCCCGGGTGCGGTCAAGGGATGGCTCCCTATTGCTCAACCACGTTATGTATGCCGATGATTTGGTAATAGCTGCTCATTCAGAGGAGGAGTTGGAGACGCTGCTGCTGAGACTAGATTGTGCCACTAAGACAATGGGGCCTTACCATCAGGCCCACCAAAACTAAGCACCTGACTGGGTATTTTGTACCATCGGACACTCCACCCCCACAACTCCCAATCGGTGATGGGGCAGTTGTGGAGAGAGTGGAGAGTTTCCCATACCTGGGCAGTGTGCTTATGACCGGCTCCAGTTTAACAGCAGAGGTCTCACTCGGAATCAGTCGAGCGGCAATATCTTTTCATCGGTTGCGTAACGCTGTGTGGAAGCTACCTGGTCTGTCACTCCGCACTAAGCTTCAGGTCTTCTCGGCCACGGTCATTCCCTCCCTTCTCTACGCTTGCGAAACGTGGACCCCCCTAACGGTAACATCTTCGCCGGTTAGAAACATTTAGGCTAGCCTGCCTACGATCCATCCTGGGTTTAACCAGGCTGGATTTTGTAGTGAGCTCAAAAATCCTTGATCTGGACAAGGTCCCATCGGTGAGCTCCTCCGGCAGGCAAGGCTGCGATGGCTGGATCATGTAGCCCGCATGCCCAGCCACTGCATGCCGAAACAGCTTTTGTTCGGCCGGATCGAGGGGGCTAAGCGGGCGCGGCACGGGCTAGAGAAGAGATGGAGTGATGTGGTACAGGAGGACGTGGAGCTGAGTGGACTTGCCGATGACTGGTACCAGCGGTGTCAAGATCGGCCTCTGTGGAGGAGGCTCGTGAAGGACGCTACTGGGCAGTTGGAGGCGGAGGAGCGACGCTCACAACAATGAGCAAAGCGCCGGGTGGCTAAAGCACAGCAGGTTGGCACAGTAGGGGACACAGGTGGCGCACCAGCCAGTCATCTTAGTCATTCGACCCGTGGCACCTGGGTCTGCCCCGTGACCTCCTGCCAGCGAGCGTTCGACACTTCACGTGGCCTCATGGTGCACATGGCCTGGCACAAGCGTCGTGGTGACGTCACCGCCACTTAGTGGCGAATGGCGGTTGTTGTCGTCTGTGTGTATCACTGTGTGTGTCACTGTGTGTGCGTGTGTCTAGGTGATATCGTTTGTGTTGATGGGGTTGTTCTCCATGCTGCTCCCCCTGTGCCCCGCGTGGGCTGCCCTCATCGCACTCTGCCTCGCCATGGGTCTCGTGGATGGCTGCTTCATCTGCGTCATGGCCCCCGTCGCCTTCGAGCTGGTGGGGCCGGCCAGCGCCTCGCAGGCCATCGGCGGCCTCCTGGGCCTGATGGCCGTGCCCATGACGGCAGGGCCCCCCATCGCCGGTACGCCGCAATCGGGAGACGTCGTCACAATCCTCGCGTACATCCTACGTTCATTCGTGGTGGTGGTGGCGGTGGTCGTGTTGTGGAGGTAGTGGTGGTTGTTGTGTTTGTGGTGGTGGTGGTGATGATGGTAGTGGTGGTAATGAGAGTGGTGATGATGGTGGTTGTGGTGGTGATGATGGTAGTGGTAGTGGTGATGATGGTAGTGGTGGTAATGAGAGTGGTGATGATGGTGGTTGTGGTAGTGGTGGTGGTGGTGATGATGGTAGTGGTTGAAATGAGAGTGGTGATGATGGTAGTGGTAGTGGTGATGATGGTAGTGGTGGTAATGAGAGTGGTGATGATGGTGGTTGTGGTAGTGGTGGTGGTGGTGGTGATGATGGTAGTGGTGGTAATGAGAGTGGTGATGATGGTGGTTGTGGTGGTGATGATGGTGGTTGTGTTAGTGGTGGTAATGAGAGTGGTGATGATGGTGGTTCTGGTAGTGGTGGTGGTGGTGATGATGGTAGTGGCAGTGGTGGTACTGAGAGTGGTGATGATGGTGGTTGTGGTAGTGGTGATGATGGTAGTGGTAGTGGTGGTAATGAGAGTGATGATGATGGTGGTTGTGGTAGTGGTGGTGGTGGTGATGATGGTAGTGGTGGTAATGAGAGTGGTGATGATGGTGGTTGTGGTAGTGGTGGTGGTGATGATGGTAGTGGTAGTGGTGGTAATGAGAGTGGCGATGATGGTGGTTGTGGTGGTGGTGATGGTGATGATGGTAGTGGTAGTGGTGGTAATGAGAGTGGTGATGATGGTGGTTGTGGTAGTAGTGGTTATGGTGGTAGTTAGTGCTTGTGGTGGTGGTAGTAGTGGTTGTGGTGGTAGTGGTGTGTTTTGGGAATGTTTGCGCGTGGGGCTAGAGAAGAGATGGAGTGATGTGGTACAGGAGGATGTGGAGCTGAGTGGACTTGCCGATGACTGGTACCAGCGGTGTCAAGATCGGCCTCTATGGAGAGGCTCGTGAAGGACGCTGCTACTGGGCAGTGCCAGGCTAGGTGCACCGCGAGGCTACTGCGCAAATTGGAGGCAGTCGCCCTCCAACAACAACGGAGGGCGGAGGAGCGACGCTCAGAACAACGAGCGGAGCGCCGGGTGGCTAAAGCACAGCAAGTTGGCAAAGTAGGGGGCACAGATGGTGCATCGGTTAGGCAAGTCATAGCACCTGCTGGGTGTGTCCCGTAACCTCCTGCCAGCAGCGAGCCTTCGACACTTCACGTGGCCTCAGGGTGCACATGGCCTGGCACAAGCGTCGTGGTGACGTCACCGCCACTTAGTGGCGAATGGCGGTTGTGTGTGTCTCCCCGTGTGTGTGTGTGTCCCCGTGTGTGTGTGTGTTTCCCTGTGTGTCTCTCTCTCCGTGTGTCTTTCTCCCTGTGTCTCCCCCGTAATCTCCCCGTGTCTCCCATCTCCCCGCGTGTCCCCGCCTGTCCCCGCCTGGATTGGCCCAGGTGATAGTGGTCATGGTGGTGGTAGTGGTGGTGGCAGTAGTGGCTACGTCTGGTCCGTTGTGATCGCTATTGATGGACTGCTTCGTTGTGCCTCGTATAGCCAAGTTTCTCTCCCCCACCCCCTGTCTGTCCATCCTCACTCCCACTCCCCACGTCTCTCTCCTCTCCACGCATACTCCCCGTGTCTACTTCACCCTCACCCACCCCGCTCACCCACCCCGCTCACCCCTCCCTCACCCTACCACTCACCCACCCCACTCACCCACCCCGCTCACCCCTCCCTCACCCTACCACTCACCCACCCCGCTCACCCACCCCGCTCACCCACCCCACTCACCCACCCCGCTCACCCACCCCGCTCACCCACCCCGCTCACCCCTCCCTCACCCTACCACTCACCCACCCCACTGACCCACCCCACTCACCCACCCCGCTCTCCCACCCAACTCACCCCTCCCTCACCCCCCCACTCACCCACCCCACTCACCCCTCCCTCACCCTACCACTCACCCCCCCCCCCCACTCACCCACCCCACTCACCCACCCCACTCACCCCTCCCCCCACTCACCCACCCCACTCACCCACCCCACTCACCCCTTCCTCATCCCCCCACTCACCCACCCCACTCACCCCCCCCCCCCACTCACCCCTCCCTCACCCCCCTACTCACCCACCCCACTCACCCCTCCCTCACCCCCACTCACCCACCCCACTCACCCCCCCCCACTCACCCCTCCCTCACCCTCCCCACTCACCCACCCCACTCACCCCTCCCTCATCCCCCCACTCACCCACCCCACCCACCCCTCCCTCACCCCCTCACCCACCCCACTCACCCACCCCACTCACCCACCCCTCCCTCACCCACCCCACCCACCCCTCCCTCACCCACCCCACTCACCCACCCCACCCACCCCACTCACCCACCCCGCTCACCCCTCCCTCACCCTCCCCACTCACCCACCCCGCTCACCCCTCCCTCACCCACCCCACTCACCCACCCCACCCACCCCGCTCGCCCACCCCGCTCACCCACCCCGCTCGCCCACCCCGCCCACCCCCGCTACCCAAGGCATCCTGCGAGACCGCTTGGGCTCGTACGACATCGCCTTCTACCTGGCCGGCGTGCCACCGCTCCTGGGCGCCATGGTGCTGAGCACCGTGCCGTGGTTTCACCGCCGCCGCCTCGGCCGGCAAGGGCGACGGCCGTCGGGGGACTCGGCCGGCGAGGGAGACGCGGGGACCGGCGGGGCGGCGGTCGTCGCACTCCTGCGTCGTCCTCCCGCGGGGCGCGCCGACGACGCAGGAGACGCGGAGCTTGATCACAACGAGAACCCGGAGCCCCTTCCCGACGAGAGGGCGGCGGGCGGTGCACGCGGGGAGACTCTGCGATTGGTGGGGAGCCGGGAGCCGGATCGGGATCCCGATCCGGATTGTAAAGGGAAAACCTCTCCGGGTCTTGGCGATGAGGAGGAGGAGGAGGAGGATAAAGATCCGGCGGGGGATCGGAGCCCGGAGCCGCGGAGAGAGCCGGGAGAGAGCCCGGAACCGGATGTCGTGGGAGACACGGAAGCCGGTGAAAACCCGGCGTCGGATCGCGAAGGGAGCCCGGAGGCGCTTCGACGAGGGGAGAGCCGGGAACCGGACGTCGGGAGAGACTCTCAAACGGATCAAAACCCGGCGCCGGATCAGAGTCCGGAGCCAGTTCGTGAAGAGAGCCAGGAACCGGACTTCAAGGGAGACCCGCAGCACGGTCAAAACCCGGCACAGGATCATAAAGGGAACCCGGCACCTGATCGGGAGCCAGCACCGGATCGTGAGGAAAACCAGGGACGGGGATCCAGTGAAACCCAGGTGCCGGATGGGAATCCAGGAGTGGCCGAAAACCCGGAACCGGAGCGCGAGGGAAACGGGCGACTGATCGAAAGCCCGGCATTGGATCGCGAAGGGAATTCGGAACCATTTCCCGGAAACCAGGAGCCGGATAAAATCCCAGAACCAGATCTCAAAGAGAACGCGGCCCTGGATGTGAATCGACCCGGGCCGGACCTCGAGAGCAGCCCAGATCCGAAGACGCCGGATCGCTCGCTCGGGATTTAAACACAGCCGTGAATTCCAGAGTTCTCGGAGCCAGTCAATTAAACTAAACTTACAAATATACAACTATCTATTTTTTTTTATTTTACCAGGGCGTAAGGCCCCACTGAGCTCGTATGTAGCTCTGTTTTCAGAAGCGGCCTGCCCATCACAAACGATAGCAGCTCAACCACGTGATGGATCATCATCATCATCATCACGTGCACATTCATAGCAACAGCCACATACTCTAAACGCGTGATGAACATTTCTTCTAAATGTGAAGGCGGGAAAAAAACCGCGGGACCTTGACAAAAAAATCCACGTGTACCACCAGGGGGCGAGAGAGACACAGACTCCAAATACGCAGAAGGCGTCAGGGTCCGGGATTGAACGCGCAACCTCCTGTATACCGGGCGAGGGCGTTAACATTTCCGAGCCACCGTGACTTCAGGTTTACAATTCAGTGTCGGAGTAAAAGTAACAAACAAAAAAATCAAAACGTGGAACTTGAGGACGTGAAGCGGCAGCCACTTATTCGTGACGTTGAGTCTAAATGTGAAAAACCGGATCGCAACGGAGAAGAATCCTCGCGACCACGGAGGGAGAGAGAGACACCGCAAACTCCAAATATACAGCAGCAGGCGTCAGGGTCCGGGATCGAACCCACGACCTGCTGTGTCACCGGGTGAGGTAGTCAACATCTCCTAGCCACCGTGGCATCAAGTTTACAAGTTACCCCTGGAATCTCCTGGGTCTCTGCAAGGGTCAAGCAGAATGCCTGGTCCACTATCAGCGTCCGGCCACTGCCTTGGATCTGGAATCCAAGGCAGCTGTTGTGTGGTATTGTATTGTAATGATAGTTGTGCTTGTATGGGTAATTGTGGTATGTGTTCTATTGTTGTGGCATTTGTATTGTTGTGTGGTGTTTCATTGTTGTGTGGTATTGCATTGCTCTATTTGTATTGTGGTATTGTTTTGTGGCGTTGCATTGGTGTGTGGTGTTGCATTGTTGTGGTATTGCATTGTATTGTATTGTGTTATTGCATTGTTGTGTGGCGTTGCATTGTTGTGTGGCGTTGCATTGTTGTGTGGCGTTGCATTGTTGTGGTATTGCATTGTTGTATTATATTGTGGTATTGCATTGTTGTGTGGCGTTGCATTGTTGTGTGGTGTTGCATTGTTTTATTGTATTGTTGTGCTATTGCATTGTTGTGTTGCATTGTATTGCTGTGGTTTTTGGTAAAAACAATCGATACAAAAAGTAGATTTTTTTTTCAGGAGCAGTACAGTACACAATATTTCCCGATGTAATAATAAATTATTATTTTTTTATATTGACAAAATAACGTTTACCATTTGTATTATTATTAGCGACAACCGATAACCCCCAATGAAGCCCTCATATATATCGGTTATATGAAAGAAATACTCCTCTACATATGAACGACTGAGTAAGTGTATAGTGTAGTGTATAGTAGTGTATAGTGTAGTGTATAGTAGTGTATAGTATAGTGTAGTGCCTGCATAGAGCTCAGTGTGTAGTGTATAGTGTAGTGTATAGTGTAGTGTACAGTGTTGTGTAGTGCCTGCATAGAGCTCAGTGTGTAGTGTATAGTGTAGTGTATAGTGTAGTGCCTACATAGAGCGCAGTGTGTAGTAGTGTATAGTGTAGTGTGTATTGTATAGTGTAGTGTAGGGCCTGCATAGTGCTCAGTGTGTATTAGTGTATAGTGTAGTGTATAGTAGTGTATAGTGTAGTGTAGGGCCTGCATAGAGCTCAGTGTGTAGTAGTATATAGTGTAGTGTATAGTAGTGTATAGTGTAGTGTATAGTAGTGTATAGTGTAGTGTATAGTGTGTAGTGTATAGTGTATAGTAGTGTATAGTGTGTAGTGTATAGTAGTGTATAGTAGTGTATAGTGTATGGTAGTGTATAGTGTAGTGTATAGTGTATGGTAGTGTATAGTAGTGTATAGTGTAGTGTATAGTGTAGTATATAGTAGTGTAGTGGCTCCGTAAAGCTCAATGTATTCGCTTACCAACCATTCCCCTGTTAACGACGGGCTGTTGTAGGTATAGTAAATATGAATGAATGCATCGATTAACCACGTTTCTTTGCATAGTATGTGTTCATTCTGTTTTCAGTATATATTTGTGTAATTAATATTCATTCTTCAAATATAAATTACGTAGGTTTTTTTTAGCGTGAAAAACGGAGGTAACTTCCGATGCTATCGGAGAAAATTAAGCCCTTAACCGTGCATTTCCAATTACTCACTTAACGACCAAAATCATCGCTTAACGTGTTGTGCAAGATAACACTGTACCATAACTATACCTCGACGTGCACTGTACAAGGCGCACCACGCACGGTAGGGCACCGAACAGTGGGCGCGCACTGTACACAAGGCACTTACTGTACAAGGCACTTACTGTACAAGGCACTTCCCTGCCGCACGGATGTGCACTGTACCAAACCGCACTGTATATATGTTATATGAACTGTGCAAGGCAATTGTGTCGATTCGGGCGTTTTTTCCCCCCCTCTCTCCCGTCGGAGTGTATCTAGAGGGAGACCGGTCCGATCTGATTTGCAGCTGCTAAACAGCAAAACGTACCTCAGTTGGGCGGTGGTGGTGCCTGTTGTTGTACCCCGGTGGGTGTGTGTGTGTGTCATGGTGTGTGGTAGACATCGCCACTGGGGAGACAAAGGTGGCCGGGCGTGGTTGCTGGCCACCCACCCCCTCCTGTGCCGTGCCGGCCTTCATAGCTGCTGATCGCTAACAGCACTTGCCCCAACAGCCTGTTACAGGCTACACAGGGGATCTTTATCTGTGTGTGTGTAACAGCACTTGCCCCAACAGCCTGTTACAGGCTACACAGGGGATCTTTGTCTGTGTGTGTGTAACAGCACTTGCCCCAACAGCCTGTTGCAGGCTACACAGGGGGGATCTTTGTCTGATGGTGCTGGCCACCCACCCCCTCTGTCTGTACCCCAGTGCTGCTGCTGCTACTCGCTAACAGAAACCCATTGCGCATGAGCGAGGGGGAGACGCTCGATCCCATGCTGACGCCAATTCGGTGGGGGGCAGCGGCCGAGGCACCGAGTTCGATTCCCGCTCACGGCCACCGGCACCGGTGACGATTGTCTGAATCGGTCCTGAGTACCTGGCGCGGTGTGGAGCGAGCGTTGCCACTTCGGGGAGATGGTTTTCTGGCTAAGCCACCTCACTTCGTGTTGCCACGGTCGTGACCCTTCGTAGCCGCTGCCGCTGCTGCTCGCCACGATACAGCCACTTGCCCCAACGCTTCCGTTTCCCTGCCGTCGTACAGTTTTGTGAAATTATCCTCATGGCAGTACCCTGGGTGGGTACCAGATAATACAAAATGGCCGAGGCGATGAAATATGTTAACTTCTGGGACACTATTTTTTATTTTTTTCCCCAGGGGGTTGTGTAACTTCACTCCGCGACTGTGTTGGGGGGGGGGGGGTAAAACCAATGGATCCGAAATCGTCATCGCCGAAACCCTGAACGCTCTCGCCGCGGTTACTCGCACCTTGGCGGTGCATCGTAGATTTGAAGGTTTCGTGACTGCAGGGGTATCCGTAACCCTTTGGCTCTTTCGGTGAAGTCACCACGCGGGGTAGAGAAAATAAATCAAATCAAATCGCGGCGTTTCGGGCGCGACCGCGCAAGCAAGCCCGTCATCAGGTTGGGTTGGGGACAACCACGTGCAAGAGAACAATTAGCCGATGACGGTGCTCGCCCGTGTTAAAATCACGTGGCGGTTTAATTTATTTGATCTCGTACCGACGGTGACTTCGCCGACAGGAACCGAACGGACGGGTGCAGTGCAGTGCATCCGTCGTGCGCAGCCCGCGGGGGCGAGGTCGATTGCCGCTTCGCCGACCATCGACAGGGTGAAAATGACTGCGCATCCGTGGGCATTATGCGGGAGCCCCGGGGGTTACCGGCCCGCGAGGTTCAATCGAAGGCTCGACGCGATAAACGATCGGAGGAATCGCTCGAGACGATTTCCCTCTTTCGATTTGGAACGAACGATTTAAGTCGCCCCCCCCCCCCCCCGTGGCTCGGTGACGATAACAATTTCCCGGCCCCCCGCCCGGGCAGCGTTAAGCTCGGCCCACTGAGTGAGGATGACAGCAGAGCGACGGCCAATCGGACGTCAGTCAAGCTCCGCCCCGCCGTTGTAAAGGTATCGCAACTACCGTGGAATTCGTTTTCACTGGAGCGGTGCATTTCTTCGGTTTGAGCACGATGGGAGAGATGCACTACCTCGCCTGGTATGCAGGAGGTCATTGGTTCGGTCCCGACCCTGATGTCTGCTGTAAATTTGGAGTTTTCGCGTCTCTCGCCCCGTGGTCGTGTGGATTTCCCCCCCCCCCCCCGAGTCATCCGGTTTTCTCCCCTCCACATTCAGAAACATGCATCGAGGGTATTTATCTGCCGCACATTTCCACGCCAGTAAAATAAGAAATTGTTTAGTTTCGCCAATGGGCCTCTATGTATCTATATGGGTCTCTATGTATCTATGTGTCTCTATGTGTCTCTATGGGCCTCTATGTATCTATATGGGCCTCTATGCATCTATATGGGCCTCTATGCATCTATATGGGCCTCAATGTATCTATATGTGTCTCTATATGTGTCTCTGTGTGTGTCTATGGGCCTCTATGTATCTATATGTGTCTCTATGTATCTATATGGGCCTCTATGCATCTATATGGGTCTCTGTATCTATATGTGTCTCTATGTATCTGTATCTATATGTGTCTCTATGTATCTATCTGTGTCTCTATGGGCCTCTGTATCTATATGTGTCTCTTTGTATCTATATGGGCCTCTATGCATCTCTATGGGTCTCTATGCATCTCTATGTGTCTCTATGTATCTATATGGGTCTCTATGTATCTATGTGTCTCTATGTGTCTCTATGGGCCTCTATGCATCTCTATGGGCCTCTATGTATCTATATGTGTCTCTATGTGTCTCTATGGGCCTCTATGTATCTATGTGTCTCTATGGGCCTCTGTATCTCTGTGTCTCGATGTATCTATATGGGCCTCTATGCGTCTCTATGGGCCTCTATGTATCTATATGGGCCTCTATGCGTCTCTATGGGCCTCTATAAATTATTATTTGGCTACTGCTATGGATTTCCAGATTATATATCTATATGTGTCTCCATGTGTCTCTATGTGTTTAGAGTTATTTGGCTGCTGCTATGGATTTCCACATGACGATGATCCCACTTCGTTGAGCTATCGTTTGTGATAGCCAGATTGCTTCTGAAGAAGGGCTGCAATTGCAGCTCAGTGGGGGTTTCAGTGGTAAAATAAGAACTAGTTTAGTTTATAGTTTAGTCTATGGGTCTCTGAGTTGCAGTGTGTCTCTGTGGGTCTCGATGCATCTCCGTGTCTCTGTGAGCCGTCGTTGGTGCAAGCCAGGTGCGCATTTGAAAAACGGCTGCAGAGCCTTACCTTGGTAAAATGAAATTAGTTTCGCTCGTGGTTTAATCCGCATAGTTTAGTTTACGTCCGATGAGCATTTCGCCAGAACGACAATGTGATAACCAAGAATTAAAGCTTTCGTGGCTGCATAAATTACTCATTGGTTTTTTCTTCGGTGAAGTCACGTACGTAGAAATACCAATAAAATTCTACTAAAATGAATAATTCGCGACGTTTCGACCGCCACGCAAGCGATCTTCATCAGGTGTTGCTCTCGAAAACGTCGCGATTGATTTACTTTCGTCTAATTTTATTGGTATTTCTACGTACGCGACTTAACCGGAAAAAAAAACCAATGAGTGATGTGATAACCGTTAATTTTTCCTTGTTTGTTGGGATCGTTAATTTGCGCTTGAGTGGAGGTTGGGGTGGGGGGAGTCTTTAATTCGTGCCAACATCTCAGGGGCGCGCGTTTCATCGGTCATCCCGTGAAGGCGGATGAACACGCAGACGGCGGACAACGGGGAGGGTCTTCGCTGGCAAGGGGGCAACTTCCCATGGGGGTGCTCTTTAGAGTGACTTCCT